TCTGAAGCAGTAGTTGTAATTTGTGTATTAATTATGTTTGTCCATTTTTCAGGGCAAATCACAATTCCCAGTCCTTTGGTGCCTTTTCATAGTTTGTTCAATGGCCTCCCAGTTCGACTATGCACTTGCATTTTATTATAAATCCACCTTAAAAACACTTACACCATAGCCAGCCAGGTGTGACAGGTCGGGGTCTGCAGTAGTGACTGTAGTACTGTGTGTACTTGCACTGCGTTTACAGGAAACCAGGTGTGACAGGTCGAGGTCTGTATGAACTGCGTCCTGAGTGGAACAAACACTTCAACCTGTACTTCCATCACTACAGCAGAGCCGACCAGTCCAAGGTACTACTGATCGCAGTATTGATCGGGGCGTTGAGCGGGCGTTGAACTGAGTGTTGCCATGGTAACGATGTGTGTGTGATGTTCCAGGCTGAGGAGGCTCAGAGGAAGCTGAGGAGACAGAACGGGGAGGACACAGGTAAACACCTCTGCCTCTAACTTCACAAGTGTTAGCTTTACCTGGTCACCGTGGTAACCCGTCTGTGTGTCGGCAGCCCTGCCCCCCCCTCTCCCGCCCCCCCTCTGTCCTCTGTTCGGCAGCCTGGTGAACCTGCTGCAGTGCGACGTGCTGCTGGCTGTAGAGGGCGCTGTGCTGCAGTGGGCCGTGGAGCCCAGCGGGGGCGGCTGGACGGAGTCCATGCTGCAGAGGGTGAGGCTGCAGCGTTTATCATCTGTATGGACAATATACGACTGCTGGAGGTCACTCAGTGGTACAAGATTTTATCTGCAGGTGTTCAAACATATCAAACCTGCAGCTGTGCTGTAACAGACCTCTAAAGTTCTGTAAGGTTCTGTTTGGACCTCATAGAAGTACGAGCTGGTAAATAGTCTGCCTGTGGTATTTAAAGTGCTGAGTTGAAACCCAGTGACATCCACAGACCTCAGTCCAGGATCAAACCATGTTCGACCACATGATGCAAGAGAAGCACCAGTTTTCACTGCAGTTTGTCACCTCAGCTGCCGGCCTTCATACCAACAGGCTGCTGGTGTTCATCACTGAAGACCAGAAACTTGCAGTGAAACATGAGCCACAGTGAAGAAAAATGACACAAACCGCTCAGAGTTCAGAGGGTTTGAGGGCTTTGTTCATGAATCTGCTCACATTTGAATGACCTGCAGAGGGCGGCATCCTTTGAGCAGAAATGCTTCGTAGGAAGTCTGGAAGGCCTGTTAACTGTGTACTCTGCATGTTCTCTGTGTGTATTCTGTCTACCATGTACACCTGTGCAGGTACTCCACCTGGTGGGCATGGCTTTACTGGAGGAGCAGCAGCAGCTGGAGAACAGCAGCGCAGACGACGACATCACCTTCAACTACACCTGCAAGATCACACGTCAGTACCCACACACCTGTGTGTCTGTGAGGATGGATTTGGTGTTTCTGTATTTTTCCAGTTAGTATTTTGAGCAATTTTCTACTCTGATATTTAGGAGGGTTAAACTAAATCAATAACTTATTAATCAATAACAGGCTTCATTGATACAGTTAGCTGTTACAGCTCAGGGACGCTGTTCATTGACACAGCAGACCATGGTCTACTCACAGTTAAGCTGGTTTTACAACAGCTCTGGTTGGAGGTCCTGAACCTCCTCAGAGTCTCTGTCATGGTCCCGCTGCTGCTAAACTCCCACAATGCTCTCTGCTGCCACCATGAGCTGCAGTCTGTAGACGCCTCCTCTGGTCTCTGCAGGATTAAGCAGTGAGAGGCTCCACCTGGTGGAACAACCAGGTACTGCACCTGGTCGATGATACATTTACTGACATCGTGACCTTCGTCTGCTGCCTTATTGGCTGATGTATTTTTAATCACTTATGTTATTAACAGTAATCATTGATTATTCAGCAACATCCAAAATTTTTGTGTATCAGTGACGTGTTTGTTTTTCATTTGCTGCTACGTCAGATTGTAGATCTTTTTTTTATTGTTATTTTTTTGGGCTTTATTCGACAGGTAAGTGGAGAGGGAGGCAGGAGGGCAGGGACAAGAGTTGGGGAAGGACGTGCAGGGGACTTTAGTTCCTGTTTATGGGTCGTCCGCTCAACCTGTTGAGCTACCGGGTCGCCTCAGACTGTAGATTTTGTAAACAGATGTTGACAAACATAATCACAGTGTGTCTATGTTGTGTGTTTGTGTCGTGTGTTTCTGTTGTCTATTTGTGTTTTGTGTCCGTGTTGTGTTTGTGTTGCGTGTTCAGGTCCAGGTGAAGCTCCCAGTCCTTCAGGAAGTGTCTTGGCTCTGTTGGAAAGTCTGCAGAATGCTCCTCACCTTGAGGTCCATAAAGACATGATCACCTGGATCCTTAAGGTAGATTCTGATGTCACGCTGAGGTCATGCTGATGCTGAAACATGTCTTCATGTTCATTCGCAGATGTTCAGTGTGTTGTCAGAGATTTGTAGATGCTGATTCTCCGGCCTGCTGGCGGTTTCACACATTCAGCTCTTTGTTTGTGTTCAGATGGTGGCGAACATAAAAACGATGAGAGAACGAACGTCGACCTCCTCAACCGTCACCATAAACCAGAACCGAGGTCAGGAAGAGGTGAGACCTTCTCACTGGTACTGCAGCAGTTTACTGACAGACTGGTTCATTAATTGATTGGCTGACAAGTTGAGTGATTGACTGCCTGTCTGGTTGGTTGATTGGTTGATTAACTGATTGATTGATTGCCATGCAGACGGTTAGGGACAAAGACAAGGCGGAGAGGAAGAGGAAGGCGGAGATGGCTCGGCTGCGCAGAGAGAAGATCATGGCTCAGATGTCTGAGATGCAGAAACATTTTATTAACGAGAACAAAGAACTGTTTCAGCAAAGTCTGGAGGAGCTGGAAGCCTCAACGTCTGCTGCTGTCGAGCACAGGTAACCACCTGTACAGCACCTGTAAATAACTACTGCTGCTGAGCACGGACAGCTGCTTTACACACCTGTACACACCTGTACACACCTGTATAAACATGTACATACCTGCTGCTGCCAAGCCCAGGTTCACACCTGTATACACCTGCTGTGATTTGAAATGAATTTGACCGCCAACAATATTTTCAAGGAGAATGGTAAAATGTCCTTTCCTCCCTTCCAGTCCTCCCAGTTTGGAGCTCACCTGTGTGTCTCAGGTGTGTGTTGGTCCCAGAAGGCTGGGTGGGGCTGAGCGCCGTCAGCTGGTCACCTGCATTCTGTGTCAGGAGGAGCAGGAGGTCAAAGGTCACGGCAGAGCCATGGTGCTTGCAGCGTTCGTACAGAGATCCACCATTTTGTCCAAAGACCGTAGTCGCAACCTGCCTGACCCAGGTGGGCGGGGCCACACTCTGACATCATACAGGCAGTTACCAATCCGTGTGAGTGATATCTAGTAAGTACGTAAACATGTGTTTCAGAACGCCATGATCCTTTGTTCATGCACCCCGACCTGTCTCTGGGGATTCACACCGCCAGCTGTGGACACATCATGCACGCCACCTGCTGGCAGAGGTAAGGCACTGCAGCTGCATGTTGTCAAACTAGCCGCCCACAGGACTGCCACACCTGATCACACTGGATGTCTGTGTGCTCAGGTACTTTGAGGCGGTGCAGCTAAAGGAGCAGAGACGTCAGCAGCGACTGAGAGGACACACCAGCTACGACGTGGAGAACGGCGAGTTCCTGTGTCCTCTGTGCGAGTGTCTGAGCAACACTGTGATCCCTCTGCTGCCGCACACACCCTCACCTGACCGCAGGTACACTCACCTGACCACAGATATGCTCACCTTACAACAAGTATATACTCACCTTAACACAGGTACGCTCACCTGACTGGCTCTTTTTTCCCCAGTGTTGAGCATCCCAATCTGGAGGCGTGGCTTAAGATGACCAATCAGCAGATAGTAGCACTACACTCCTCCCACAGGAAGCAGTCTGACGGTCAGTCACCTGTCAGTCATGTAGAGGGCGATAGGCCCGCCCCCCTGTACATGTCTGTTCATGATCCAGGTGTTGTGTGTTCCAGGTGCAGCAGAGGGGGCAGAGCCTGCTGCTGTCCCTGATGGATTCAGAGTGGACTTCACTCCACCGTGAGTCTGCCGCTGTTTGTGTTGATCCTGACCAATAACCTTCTGATGTGACAGTGATGTCAGTGGTCATGTGATTCATCCTCAGGAACCCGTTCTCCAGCAGCATCAGCGAGATGATCACCACCTTCAGCATGTCCACCTACAAGGTGGGACTGAAGGTAAACCCCAACGAGCAGGATCCCCGAGTCCTGGTGCTGAGCTGGTCGACCTGCGCCTACACCATCCAGAGCATAGGTAAACACACACCTGACAGGTAAACACACAGGTACAGGTTTTTACAGATGTGCTGACAGTGAGTTGTTTTTTGCAGAGCGCCTCCTGATGGACGAGGAGAAGCCATTGTTTGGAAGTTTACCTTGCCGACAGGTAATACACTGAGAAGGTAGTGGTGTGATCGGACAGGACAGCAGAGGGGAGGAGTTTAAACTTACCTGATGGGCGCTGCTATAGCTCACCTGGTTGAGCTGGCGTCCCATGAACAGGGGCAGTAGTCCCAGACACAGCGGTCGTGGGTTCGAGTCCCGCTCATGACCCCCGTTGGTCTCCTCCCCTCTCCTGTTTCTCTCTGCCCTGTCTAGTAAAAAACTTGCCTGATGATGTTTGTTGTGCTGCAGGACGACTGTCTGAGCTCTCTGACCAGGTTCAGTTCAGCCTGTTGGACTGCAGCTCCACTCACAAGTGTTCACACTCACTTCATCAGACTGCTTGCAGGTACAACACACCTGCTCAACACAGTGACACTCAGTGAATAGCTGGTTAAGGTGTATCGGTTTGTCATCGGTGTGTAATTGGCGTGTTATGTGCTGCAGCTCTGGTTCAGGACTCTCAGGTAGAAAGCACACCTTGTATCCTCAACATCGACATGTTTCACCTGCTGGTGAGTTTAACTTCTTCACATCCAGTTTAACCAGTCGACATCCAGCTTCAGTGAACTTTGAATCCAGTTAACTTTGAGTTTCTTCGTGTCTCTGCAGGTCAACAGCGTTTTGTCCTACAGCTCCGTTCACAGTCTGGACCAATCAGGACGAAGCGTGGTGGACTCGGGGCACCTCCACCTCCTTCATCTGGTCACTGTCGCTCACATGGTTCAGGTCCTGCTCACCTCCACCACAGGTGACTTACACACACACTGAATGTAGATATGTATGAAAGTGACGCAGCTCTGGCTCACCTGTCTGTGTGTGTCTCACCTGTGTGTGTCCAGAGGAAGTGTGTATGGACCAGGACAGTGGAGGATCAGAGGAGGAGGAGCTCACCTGTCAGCTCTACAGCACGCTTAGGAAACACCTGGGCAGGTAAGCATACTACAACACACACACACACACACACACACACACACACACACGAGCACACAGGTGAGTCACTGTTACTACCATGTTTTATTGCAATGTTTGATTAGAAGCAGATTGATTGATTAATTTGGTTGATCAGCAGCTTTCTCAACCTGAAATAATTTCTGAAGAAGAAAAATGTTTAAATGAAAGAATAAATCATTGTTGAGTAAAGATTCAATAAACTGATTGATCTGTGGAAGATAAGTTCATAGTGTATCAATAAACCCAAACATGAAGAACTCAGTGACGACTGAACACTATCACTGTATTGATCACTGATCTGTCAGTGTCCTGGAGATTCAGATTTACCTGAATTTACCTGAGAGCAGCTTTAACATAAACACACACCTCTCTGTCTGTGTGTGTGTTGATCAGTGTGTTACCTGAAGTGTCCTCTGGGTGGCAGCTGTGGCGTTGTGTTAAAGCTGGCGTCCTGCCGTTCCTGCGAGCTGCTGCTCTCTTCTTCCATTACCTGAACTCTGCAGCGCCCCCTGCCGACCTGCTGGGTAACAGCGTGCACCAACACACAACAACAACAACACAACACTGTGTAACAATGCAGCTCAGACTGTTATTTGCATTTTCTACAAATTACACGTGTGTGTGTGTGTGTTGTAGTTGCAGGTCCTTGTCAGTGGGAGGCGCTGTGCAGCTACCTCAGTCTGCCCTCCAACCTGCTGCTGCTGCATCACAACAACCTCACACTGCTGGAGCCGTTCATACACAGGTAGCACACACACACACACACACACACACACACTTCAGAGATAATGTATGGACAGAGAGACTGTGGTCCAGAAAACTGAAGAAGAGGAGATGCCTCTTACAGCCTTGGCTGTGCACCATCTGTTACCATGGTGATCCAAATGGCAACATCAGTTACCATGGTGATCCAAATCCCAACATCTGTCACCATAGTAATCTACACTATATTGCCACAAGTACTTGGACGTCTGCCTGTACACGTACATGAACTTTAATGACATCCATCCATCTTAGTCGTGGCTCTAATTCCTCCCAGAGGCATTCTGTTGGGTTGAGGTCAGGAGTCTGTGCAGGCCAGTCCAGTTCCTCCACATCCATGTCTTTATGGACCTTGCTTTGTGGTGCAGTCATGCTGGAAGAGGAAGGGACCATCTCCACAAAGCTGGGAGCATGGAACTGTCCAAAATGTTGTGGTACACTGAAGCATTCAGAGTTCCTTTCACTAGAACTAAGGGGTCAAGCCACCCCTGAAAAACAATCCCCCCTCCACCAAGCTCTACACTTGGCACAATGCAGTCAGGCCAGTACCGCTCTCCTGGCACCACCAAACCCAGACCGGTCCATCGGACTGCCCGACAGAGGAGCGTGAGTCATCACTCCAGCGGTTGGTGATGTAAGGCTTTGATGCTGCTGCTCGACCATGGAAACCCATTCCATGAAGCTCCGCTGACCCCGCTCTGTGGCTGTACGTGGCCTCCCAGATCATGGCTGCGTTCCTGTTGTTCCCAGTTGCTTCCACTTCGTTATAATACCACCGGCTGAGTCTTTCACAAGTGTTTGTAGAAGCAGTCTGCGTGCCGAGGTGCTTGATTTTATACACCTGTGGCCGTGGAAGTGATTGGAACACCGGAAGGGTGTCCCAGTGCTCTGGTCAGTGTAGTGTCGCTGTGCAGCGTTGCCATGGTGATCTAGCAGATCCTACCAGCCCCCCGGTGACCCTGAAAACTCTTCATACCTGCTGACACGGCCATTGTGGTTCAACATGTCACTGACCTCAGGACTTCACATGTATACTTTAAACCCACCTGTGTTTGTGTGATTTCAGGTGGTGTTGTCATCCAGGTGTGAGGCAGACGCTGCAGGGAGGCGGAGTCATCATCAGGTTCCCCAGAGAGTCGAACCGCCTGATCGACCTGCCGGAAGATTACAGCGTCCTGATCAACCAGGCGTCCAGCTTCACGTCAGTACACACACACACACACACACGCACACACACACAAACACACAGTAAATGTGTAACATGTTCGTCTCTTTAGCAGAGGATAAACTACATCCTCTGCTGCTGCCTGTATGTGCAGGTGTTTTAAATCTACTTTGCTGTGTTACCTGTGCAGGTGTCCTCGGTCAGGTGGAGATAAGTCCCGTGCTCCCACGCTGTGCCTGGTCTGCGGCGCCATGCTGTGCTCTCAGAGTTACTGCTGTCAGACGGAGGTGGACGGAGAGGATGTTGGCGCCTGCACCGCCCACACCTTCACCTGTGGAGCCGGCCTTGGCCTCTTCCTCAGGTAATGTACCTGGAGCGCTCGCTTCCGACACTGGAAGTCATTATTGTGTTTACCTGTAGTTCACAAAAAAATGTCACACACCTGGAAAGAGCTGTGAGTTGACGAACTCTGCAGGTAATCCTGCTCTCACCTGTGAAGTTTACCTTCTAACGCAGATGCTGATTGTTGTGTGTGTGTGTGTGTGTGTGTGTGTGTGTGTGTGTGTCCGTGTGTCCGTGTGTCCACAGGGTCAGAGAGAGTCAGGTGTTGTTTGTAGCTGGTAAAACTAAGGGCTGTTTCTATCCTCCACCGTACCTGGACGACTACGGAGAGACGGACCAGGGCCTCAAGTACGTACCTGAGTTGGTTTGTTTGTTTTTGATGGTTTGTTTGTTTGTTTGTTGCAGGCGGGGGAACCCCCTCCACCTGTGTTTGTATATTTATTGTTTGTTTGTTTGTTGCAGGCGGGGGAACCCCCTCCACCTGTGTTTGTATATTTATTGTTTGTTTGTTTGTTGCAGGCGGGGGAACCCCCTCCACCTGTGTTTGTATATTTATTGTTTGTTTGTTTGTTGCAGGCGGGGGAACCCCCCCCCACCTGTGTTTGTATATTTATTGTTTGTTTGTTTGTTGCAGGCGGGGGAACCCCCTCCACCTGTGTTTGTATATTTATTGTTTGTTTGTTTGTTGCAGGCGGGGGAACCCCCTCCACCTGTGCTCGGAGCGCTACAGGAAGATCGAGCGTCTGTGGCGGCAGCATGGCGTCGCTGAGGTCATCGGTCACGCTCAGGAGGCCAATCAGACGCTGGTCGCCATTGACTGGCAGCACCTGTGATGGTTGGCTAGGCTCCGCCCCCTCGCTCAGAGACACGTACACTGATTGGCTCTCAGCTTTCTCCCCACCCCTTTTTTAATGACCTTCCCTGAATAAACCAATCAGCTTCCTGCAGCGCAGCGCTCCAATCAGCTTTCAGGGATTTTTCAGGTGTTTGACCTCTAACGACTCCATGTCTCAGTCCACCAATCAGAGAAAGGCAGTCTCGCTGATATCATCATCCTGCTCAGACTGAAGCCCCGCCCACCGGCCATGTCACTCAGGTGGAATGACAGGTCGGACGCCACCGCTCAGGTTTCTGATTGGCTGTCTGCGACGAAGACGGAGCGAGACCCCCATGATGCATTTTTCTGATGGCCAATCACAGAGTGCCGCTTTCTGTGTATCCATGGCAACAGAAGTGTTGAGCAGTAACAACCAGTTCCAACATGAATCTGTTTATTCAAGAAACACCTGAACAACAGTCAGCCAATCAGAACGCTTTACCTGTAAACTGGGTCCTTGCTCTGCTGTCTATTGATTAGTTTCATTATTGATTGATCATCTGTCAGAAAGCAGCAGCTCACATGACCTCCAAGCACGCCGTGACCTCAACAGCTGTCAGACCGATTAGTGATTAGTTATTGATCTGTTTGGATAATAATTGATTGATGTTGTCATGTGAGAAACTCAGTCAGCTAATTGGTTGACTGAGTGACTAATCGGATCGATTGATTAATTTACTGGTTCATTCAGCTGATCGATCAGCTGATCAGACGATGGCTGCAGCTGCAGGCGGATGTTGGTGTGTGTTGATCTCCATGGCGACAGAGTGAGGCGAAGAAAACTGATCAATAAATCAGCTGTTTGAGTGTTGAAGAGTGGAAACGTATCCAACCACATATCAGAGCTGCGTATTGACGAGGATTGATCGGTGGTTTTAGTTGAGTTGTTTTATTTAAGAGGTGATTGGTGGCGTGCTGTGTGATGTCACTGTTTTATGTTCTCACTTTATTTAAACGTCAGATTTTGTTTAAAGAGCGAAAAACGTTTAAATAAAGTTTTTTGTTTGTAGTTTTTTATGGAGGTCAGCTGATCAACGGCATGTTGGCTTCATTTATCACACGTGATGTTAATATGTGAATTCTGTATAAACGACTACATGTATGATAATATTGTATAAGAACCAGAAAACCAATAAAAAACTTTAAGACAACCTCATCGTGCTGTCAGCTGCAGTAAAGAAGTTCCTGACGAATGAGGATTCTTCTGATAATACATTATTATTTCATAACGTTTATTTAATGTTACAGGGAGTTTTATCTGTGAGTTTGTAGTTTAGTCAGCTGCTTTGTATTTTCTGTTCTTTGAATTTGAACGATTTATTTACAGCAAACATTAGGCGTGGATAGTTAAAAACCGTTGCATGGCTGTGGGATAAGGCATCCTTATTCATGTGAGCTGATTCTTACTGTGGACGACTGTCAGCTTTAATCAGGTTACCTTCACTTTGCTTTTGTCAGTTTCATGGCAAATAACAAATGGAAAAAAATACGACCTTAAATGTCCAAATAAAATCTAGATCGAGCAAAGAATCTCAAAAAAATGAAACGTAATGGATCGGACGGTCTGTTGCTATGGTAACAGCCTCCCTTTGTGCTTCTTCCTGCCTCCTTAGAAGAACTTTCTGTTTGTTCTCGGCCAATTGGAGAGCAGAGACCTTCTTTCTGTGGCGGAGGCTCACCTGTGCGGAGGTGAGGCAGGTGAGTGTAGAGGAAGCTGCTGCTTAGCATCAAACCAATTATCAGTAAGATGGCGGATTAGAGGCGGCGGCTGATCTGCTGTAATGAGATCAGAGCTGCTCGAGGCTTTAGGGTGACGTGTTGCTGCTCGCGCTCATTCACACCTTCACGCTGCTGCAGGACGCTGCAACCACTCAGCCGCCGCCGGCTTCAGGACTCGCTTCCATGGCAGACCCCCCTCAGCGGTATGGACTGTCCTGACCTGCAGCTCGGCATTATGGGTCTGAATCCAAGAGTTGTGACCGAGTCGTGTTCAGCTGCTTCTTCCTGGACCGGATTAAAGCTTTGAAACTGACGGATTCTCAAACTGTGTGGACAAAGCTGTTTCATATCGATTCCTGACATTTAGTGACTTGAGTAGTTTTGCTGAGTTTTAAGAGACGACAAAATGCCGTTCATGCCGGTAAAATTCAACCTGCAGAAGCGGGTGAAGCTGGCTCAGGGCCTATGGATGCTCTACTGGCTCTCCGTCATTGTGGGCATCCTCATCTTCAGCCTCGGCATCTTCTTCAAGATCGAGTTGCGCAAGAGGAGTGAGATGATGGACAACAACGAGAGCCACTTGGTGCCCAACCTGCTGATGCTGGTGGGCATGGTGGCCTGTGGGATCAACGCCTTTGGGGGGAAAGTCTGCCACGACTCTCTGGACCCCATCAAGTTCTCCAAGTGGAAGCCGTTGCTGAAGACATACCTGCTGCTGTGCTGCGGCTTCAATGTGCTGCTGCTGCTGGTGGCGCTGCTCTGCTTCCTCATGCAGTTCGCCGTGTACCTAGCGCTGGCCGAGGGCCTGAAGAACGGCATCAAATTCTACAAGGACACGGACACGCCGGGCCGCTGCTTCATGAAGAGGACGCTGGACATGACGCAGATTGAGTTCCGCTGCTGTGGCAACAACAACTTCAGAGACTGGTTCGAGGTGCAGTGGATCAGCAACCGCTACCTGGACATGAGCAACGACGTGGTCAAAGAGTGAGTACCGACCAGAACCGATGAGTCCACTGGTGTCAATCCATCACCAGCTATTGATCGAGCTGCCTCTGTTCTAGCTGGTCTTTGTGATCAAAGATCATCTCATCATAGATCAATGATCTGATCTTCGTATCGAGTCTTTATATGAGTTTAATGATCGCTTTGCCGCTGACAGTTACAGCCGTTTCTTATTTCTAACCTTCCCCAAACAAATTTTATTTGTCAGAATTTTGTCTCAAACTGGGATCATCTCTGAGCTCCCTAATCCTGGTTTGAACCTGCAGTGTTACCTCAGCATAGAACTTTATGGTGTTTTTAGATAAATCTCACATTAAACGTTCAGAGCTTTCAGTGAGTGCAGTTCAGAGCTCAGCGGAGGATCAATGAGGAATTAGGGAGGTGAAAGTTACCGTGCAGGTTTCTGCTCTCTAAGACTATAATCTGTCAGGATCTGATTCTACTGCAGCTGACATGACAAGGTTAAAGTAAACCAGAGCTCCATTCTCCCACCAGGAGGCAAAGCGCAGAGCTGCAGACGTGATGTCGGGTATGATCGCTGACTGCAGCTCTGAAGCGTGTTCGACTTCAGTGTTCGCGTGTTTCCATGTCGTGTTTTTGTGTTAATGCGTTTAAGAGATATTACTCGCTCCCTGAGATGATTATTTCCCATGATCCAGTTTTAACCTCCTGCCAGTGCTGTGTCTGTCAATCAGTCGGAAGCCCCGCCCCTTCACGAGGAACACCAGTGACATCACAAGTGGGAAAACAAATGTAAATCTGATTTTTTTGATCACGACAGAAACTTTAACGGACAAACAGATAAATCCTCAGGATGTTCTCTGGAATTCAATTAAGTTCAATTTTATTTATATAGCGGCGATTCACAACACACGTAATCTCATAAACAGAGAAGCCAACAATCCACAGGTTCCTTTGGACTCCCTTCAAGCAGCACTGGGCGACAGAAGTAACCAAAACCCTGCTTTAGAAGCAGAACCAGGCAAAGGGAAGGTGGCCATCTGCCCCGACCAGGACGGGCTGGGGAGGGGGCAGCAGGACAGCAGATGGAGAGCAGCAACAGAGCAGAGCCATAAATATTCTGGAGGTCTGTGAGAACACAACCTGTAGATCAGAGACGTGAAGCTCCAGATCCAGAGAACAAACACAGAATTAATTAATGTAATGTTGGTGTATAACTGTATGGAGAGGAGAGGAGCCCAGTGCATCATGGGAGTCCCCCGGCAGTCTGAAGCTACAGCAGCATCACTGAGGGACAGTCCAGGTGATCCTGAGCAGCTCTAACTATCAGCTTCATCACAGAGGAACGTTTTCATCCTGACCTTAAAGCACAGAGGGTGTCTGCCTCCAGAACCCAGACTGGGACCTGGTCCACAACAGAGGAGCTGATAGCTGAAGGCTCTGCCTCCCATTCTGGTTCTGGAGACTCTGGACCCACCAGTAGACCTGCAGTCTGAGAGCGAAGGGTTCTGTTAGGATGATACGGTACCATGAGGTCTGTAAGGTCACATGGAGCTGCTCATGGAGAGTTTATATGTTAGAAGCAGGATTTAGATTCTATCCTGGATTTTACAGGAAGCCACTGAAGAGAAGCTGATACAGGAGACATCTGATCTGGTACTGGTTCCTGTCAGAACCCTGCTGCAGCATGTTGGATCAGCTGGAGGGTTCTGAGAGAGTTACTGGGACATCCTGATAATAAGGAACTACAACAGTCCAGTCTAGAAGTTCTGAATGATGGACTGGTTTCTCAGCATCACTCTGAGACAGGATGCTCTGATGTTTACAGTGTTACGTAGATGGCAGAAGATCGTCCTACAGACTGGTTCTGTATGTCTACTGAAGGACATGTCCTGGTCAGAGATACCTCCAAGGTTCTGTACGGTAGAACTGGAGGCCAAGGCGATGCCATCTAGAGCAGCTGTCTGGTTCCAGAGTGTTTCTGAGGTGTTTAGGGCCAAATACAAGAACCTCAGTTTGTCTGGATGTAAATGAAGGAGATTCCAGATCATCCAGACCTTAATGTCCTTCAGACATGTTGGAGTCTGACCAGCTGATTGGTTTCATTTGACTTCATAGATAAATATAGCTGCGTATCATCTACATAACAGTGGAAATGTCTGCAGTGCTTCCTAATAATGTTGCCTAAAGGGAGCATGAACAAGGTAAATAATATAGGTCCTAACACAGAACCCTGTGGACCTCCATCACTAACTCTGCTGCGGGTGGAGGAACCATCATTAACATGAACAAACTGGAATCTGTCTGATAAATATGATGTAAACCAGTTTAGTTCCTTTAATCACAATGACATGCTCTGGTCTCTGTAATTAGATGTTATCTTACTGTACAAGTTCTTTAAGAACCTGAATGTCTCTGAGTGGTTCTGAAGGACGGCTGACTAACCCCTCAGCCTGACTGATGTTCTGTTTTTGTCCTTCAGCCGTGTCCTCAGTAACGTGGAGGGGAAGTATCTGATGGACAGCGTCCCGTTCAGCTGCTGTAACCCCGGGTCGCCACGACCTTGCATCCAACACCACCTGACTAATAACACCGCCCACTACGACTACGACCACCGCACCGAGGAGCTGAACATCTGGGTCCGTGGCTGCCGCGAGGCGCTCTTCTCCTACTACAGCAGCATGATGAACAGCATTGGGGCGCTCGTCATCCTCACCATCTTCCTGGAGGTAAGAGCCCGCCCCCATCCCACTTCAGCCAATAGGCAGCCAGCCTGGGTCACTCAGTCGCTTCAAGGAACAGTCAGTGGAATGTTCTACATGCTATTGTGTCGGAGCATCGGATTGGTTCAGCTCACGTCTCTCAGTAAATATGAAGCCTCAGTCAGCAGCTGATTAGCTTAGCTTAGCATAAAGACTGGAGCAGATGAAAACAGCTAGCCTAGCCATGAGCAACGCTAACAAATTCCTGCTGCCAGCAGCACTGAAGCTCCCTGATTAGCATGTTTGACAGGGTTAGTCGGGAGTCCCGCCTCCAGGTGTTTACACCTGTCAGCTGTGTTTGTCAGAGACATTTCAATAAGCCAATGAGGCGACAAAGCTGACTCTTCTTCTTCTCTGGAGGAAGATTTTTGTGTCCACCTCCTGAAGACTTCAACCGTCACTACTTTTACCTGCTGACCAGGTAATTGCATTGGAAGCATCTAATTGGCCAGGAGGGCAGGGTTGTTGGAAGGGCTGCTTTTTTTGGGACTTTTATCTAAAAACAGAATAAAAGAGGTTAATTATTTAATTTAAACATGTTTAAGTGAAACTGGGAGCCAAACGTGCTGCTCACCTGCTGAGTGAATCCACAGAAGACTTTCTCCTGGAGGTGAATGCAGGATAACGTCCGTTCTTAATCTCCTGATTTGAAACGAGATTATTGTGGCAGCACACCTGCAGCAAATTAAGTGAAGTGACCTCAAAAACACCAGGTTAATAGCGTAATTGATTAGTGGGTGATTAGCGTTAGTGCTAATGTTCCTGCTCAGGCTGTTTTTCAAACATATTGGACATTTTTTTATGAAACTGAACAGCCAATTAAAATATTTTTACATTAATTTACTGAAGCAGTTTTCCGTCAGATGAAGTTCAGCTTGTGACACTCTATCACAGTAAAATGTAAACTATGGTGTCGGCGTTCTCTGGCGGTTTGGCCGTTCGTGCTGCGATCGTACGTGACTCCTGCTGCTGTGACTCGGACTGTTGATTGGCTGCTGAGGTGGAGGCGCATTAAGCTGTCGAGCAGCGGTCAGGCTCACAGGGGATCAGAACTATTCTGAGGGGGTTAATCTACCTGCAGCTGCTGGAGATTGCATTCTGGGAAGATCAGGACAGTTCCTGAGAGGCAGAAGCGATTTGGTATGTGGGTCAAAACAACAACTTTGACCTGAAGGCTTTAAAACCAACATCCTGAACTCAATCAGTCCCAGAGAGCTGAAGGAGGTGAAACACCTGAACCTGGGCTGCTTCAGCTTCCACGGGGTGGAAATAGCGTCTTACCCCCAAGCAGCAAACTGTCGACAGTGTCCCAGTGCTGCTTGGCTAAAGGCTTAGTGAAGGTTTTTATAGCTCAGTAAATGACTAAATGAACAGAAGAGGTAAAACTACGAAGGGAAACAGACCTGAGGGTGCAGCCCAATGAAAGAAAATCATAGAAAGGTCAGCACAACCAATCCAAGGCAGCTCAAAACTACAAGTAACAACTAAGAACTGATCACAAAAACGCACTTTAGCTGATCAGCTGCACTGCTAAGCTGCTGCACACTTTGCTGCTGTCCAATCAGTGGACAGCGGTCCAATCAGTCACAGCGGTCCAATCAGTGGACAGCGGTCCAATCAGTGGACAGCGGTCCAATCAGTCACAGCGGTCCAATCAGTGGACAGCGGTGGGCGAAGACCAAAGTTCTGTCCGCTGTCTTTTCTTTAACACTTGTCTCTGATGGAGAACGTCATGAGGTGGAGGGAACGTGAAGAGTCGATGAGATGATGTGTGGTATATGAAAGAAACCACTTTGGGCCGAAACATGAAAACTGGTCTGATTGAAATAAAACAAAGTTAAAGGAATAAACAGTCCTTCGAGGAAAACAGGACTCTGAGCAGCTTCTTTTTGAAAGTAACTAGACGATGACTAGAGCTCAGAAAGTAGCAGCACTCAGATTCCTTATAGTTAATAACACACTTGTGCACACCAGGTAGGTTGATGAGCTGATACCTGAGGTCACACTCTGAGGTCCTGGCAGGAACCGAGCACTCAGGTCACATCTGAAACACCTGCACCTTTAGCCAATCATAGCTTCTCACTGCTAGGATGTCACATGATGCGTACTGAGTGTCGCCCTGTCTGTGTGTGTGTCTGTGTCAGTCGGTGGACATGGCGGGCCTGAAATACCTGTGCACGGCTCTGGAGACGATGACGGATCCGGAGAACCCGGAGTGCGAGAGCGAAGGCTGGCTGCTGGAGAAAGGTGTCAAGGAGACGTTTGCCGACATGCTCAGCAAGGTGAAGACGATGGGGAAGACCAACCAGGTAGAGGAGGGCGGGGATGCACCTCAGGCGTGATAGCCCCGCCCACCATGGAGGACTGAGGCCCCCCCTCCCCTCACCACCAACCGCCACCTCCCCCCCAACAAGGGAGAAGCAGGAGAGTTCACCTGTTGTGTTCAAATGCCATCATACATGTGTTTTCACACACACACACACACACACACACACACACACACACTTGTTCAAAGTGAACAAGTCATTTAAAGATGTGGATATTTTCTGTAAATATGTTGAACAAAGTTTATTTTTAATCTACTGCTGTAACTAAAACAACTGGTCAGGATTGAAATTAAGTTAGCGCCCTTTAATACGAGCTGTCAGGCCTGACGCAGGTCTTCATCTGAGCCCAACTCATGGAACTCGCTGCTGAACAGCTAAAATCTGAGAGTTAAAACTTTGCAGTTCCACAGTTTGTCCAGCAGAGAGCGCCAAGCATGAAAATAGCTCTTTTTACATTTGGAGGATTTTTGCCAAACGTGTTGTTTACCTGAAAAACAAACGTCTCAGTACCGGTCGGCCTCTGTCCCCTCGCTGTTCGACCTCTGATGGCGGTGGGTGGCATGGAAACAGACGGCCTAACATCCAAAAGAAACAACTCAAAGCTCAGCAGTGCCACTTCTGACCAGCAGGAGGTAAAAACAGACTTATATTCACAGGAGCTAGCAGCTGTCTAACATATGCAGAGGTAAATTCACCTATACACACAGGTGTGCTACGAATACATACAGCTGTATACACAAAGTACATATGGGGTAAATGTGGGTATAAGCAGGTATATATAGGTGTAAATACGGGTATAAGCAGGTATATATAGGTGTAAATACGGGTATAAGCAGGTATATATAGGTGTAAATACGGGTATAAGCAGGTATGTATAGGTGTAAATACAGGTATATAAAGGGGGATTCATGAATTTTTCTTTGTCAGCATCTTTTTATCATTTTCTTTTTGGAGCAAACCACTTCTTTGGCATGTTGTGTATTTTGTTGTTAAACTGAGCAGCTAGCTAACATAGCTAATGATGATGCTACCATCTGCAGATACTGGACTGAGCCTGGCAGACTGAGTTCAGGGCAAACATGTGGCCGTCTGGTTCCCTGTCGGGGTGATGGTGGTTCAGACCCAAACACGAGTGTTTTTTACTGTAAAACTGCAGCCAAACCAACCGACACACAGTGAATGAATCCTAGTGTTTGCTGAGTGTACCAGGCAGGAAGCAGCTTCACAGCGTGCAGCTCTGTGGTCAGTTCCTTAGTTCAGTCGTTTAGTGATTCAAGTTTTCAGTTACAGCTGTAAAATTTGTATGTTTCTGTTTGAGAGTTGTGATGTTTTCAGTCTGATGTTGTGGGTTGGATGGAGCTTGTAGTCGCTGTGTACGATAAAACCTATAAAAGATTGTGACACCTAACTGCCTGACTCATCTTTCGTAAACTTATTTATTCTCATTTCCAAATCACACAAAGCCTCAGTGCTGCATCAGAGGAACCTGAGACGTGGCTGTAGATCCTCCTCCACTCAGAGGTGTCGCTCCAGTTTAATGTTTTCCTTCATTCTTCCCTGAAAGCTTCTTCTCTGTCCAGAGTGTGACTCTGATCCTTCAGCTGGATGCTGAGTCTGGTCCTGGAGATCTGCTCTGCTGGAGCTCATCCTCTGCTCGATGAAGGTCTGTGCTCTGAACTTACCAGACAGAAAACAAGATAGCACCACGCTGTCAGACATTCAGGATCAGGAACAACGACATGCGAGAAAGAGAACAGCTTGGGTTGAAGGTTTCTGTGGAACTCTCTTGGTGATACCTCCACCCAGTTGGACCTGCATGAAACCTGCCTTCATGTGATGTCACCTCACTTTTTACACATTTACCTTCATCTGAGGCAGTGGAGACCATCGGACAACCACCACAACAGAACCAGCCTCACCTCAGTCAGAACTGACCCTGCTGGACCTGGGCCATGGATTCTCCTGGTTCCCTCTCTGTGGAGAACCTCTACATGGAGGAGGTGGAAAAAGAGCCCTGGGCTTGTTCAACTGAACAACTTCAGCCTCTGGTCCAGATATGTGGACAACACCTGGGTCACAATCAGAACCACAGAAGTAGAACCTTCACAGAGCAGATGAACTGTTTGGACAGAACCATCAGGCTCCCAGGGAGGATGTCTGGAGAGCAAAGGATGAAGCCTCAACACAGAAGACAACAAACCACCAGCACTGTGACACACAAACTGGTTCATCCTGAGGCTGAAACAGCAGCTGAGCAGTGATGTGTCTGCGGTCCAAAGCAGCCCGGAGAGCACAGACCTTCATCGAGCAGAGGATGAGCTCCAGCAGAGCAGATCTCCAGGACCAGACTCAGCGTCCAGCTGAAGGACAGAGAAGAAGCTTTCAGGGAAGAATGAAGGAAAACATTAAACTGGACCGACACCTCTGAGTGGAGGAGGATCTACAGCCACGTCTCAGGTTCTGACAGGTCCACCACCATTTCTACCTCAGAGCCTGAGAGTCTTGGGTCAGTAACAATGAGTTGAGATTTGTGAGTGAGAATTGAACCTGGATTCTGCACCAGTCAGCTAGAACTGAGGAAGCCTCTTGGATGAAGGTGAAACGTCTTCAAGAACCAAAAACACGTCTGGCTGCTTCCACAGAGTTCTGAGGATCACGGTGGTCTGGAGCTTCCTCCGATGTCTCACAGTGTTTAGTTTAGTTTTGATTCCAGTGTTTCTACAGCGTGCAGGTCATGACAGCAGCTGAGCAGATAAACAGTTAATCAGCTCAGAGGAACAGATTAACCTCCCTGATGTCAGCTGAGCGCCAACGATGACGCAGGGAGGAACCTGGGGGTCCTGGGGGGCGGAGCCAAGTCCAGGTCCTTTAAAGGACAAGTTCACTGCTGCAGCCACAGCGATGCACACAGACGTACAGACTGAACATTCACAGTCGTTCACACTGCAGGTTCAACTGAACAGACTGACTGCAGACGTGGAAACCAGACTCATCTCAGCGTGGTTTCAGTTTGAAGGTCCGTCGCTGCGTATGGCGTCGCCTTCAGTGACCGCAGTCTGATGGACGGGCTGCAGAGGGTCAGCGGCCGGTCGAGAGCTGACTGAGGAGATGAACAACGATCAGAGATTAAAGTGAAGCTGAGGAGCAGATTTACTCTCTGATCCTTTTAACGCAGCACGCAACGCTTCTACCTGCAGCAGGTCAAGGTGAGGCGGGTTCCTGTCTTCAGGACATTCTGCACTTCTTTAGCTTTGACTGCACAACTTCTAATGGAGGCGACTTTTTAAAAACGTTTGTTGTCCAACAACACAGACACCAGTGACCTCGTGGTGCCACCACAGTGAGAGCAGCGTGACAACGTTAACTTAGAACCACAGATTGGATCGACTGATATTTGAACCTTCCATAATGTCACACACACGTTTCCTGCAGAAGCTCCGCCCTTTGCCATAATGACAGCACCTGACTCCTCCCACTGCCAACAGTGGAGTCCGGGTGTGATGTGAACTGTCAGTCAAAGACGCCACGCCCTTAATTATCCATTACTTTAAGCCTTAATACAATCCAAAGAAATCAGTTTAATCGAAAATTCCCCACCTGTACAGGTGTCATGAGTGAGTGTGTCCCGACTCCATCTAAGTCTCCTGATTGGTTGGTTCATGTCAGGCGTCTCAGGCTTCAGTCATTCGTTTTTAAGAGAAGTTAATCAACTAGAGGACGAAGAACTGCAGACAAACGTCCTCTGGTGGTTCCTGTTGATGCTGAGAGGGTCTCACTGCTGATTGGTTGAAGATGTTGTCATCCAGCAGCTTCTTCTCCTCTCCAGCATCATCAACAACAACATGAAGTTCTCCAGATGTTCTGGCAAAACAAACCTCCATTGTTCTGGTTCCTACACAGAACCAGAGTTAATCCAGAAACAGCTGGTTCTGAGGTTTGAACTATTCAGGCTTCCTTTGTGTGAGTTGACTTGACAAAAACCAAACTCCACTCAGATATCAGAAGGTGCTGATCAGCTGACTCTGAGGCCTGGCTGCCGTTCTGCCCTCCGACCACCACCTCATGCGCATCCACACCAGGTAAGGTGGTGAAGTGTGTTGCCCAAGGACACAACCACCATGACACAGGTTACAGGGCGGAACCAAACCGCCGACCTTCCGATCACTGACCGACCCGCTCCACCAGCTGAACCACAGCCGCCACCAGGATTACCGTCACAACAAATGTTTTCACAGAGATAAAAGTGAAAGAGTCCTGCTGAAACAACAACCTGCTGACAAACACTGAAGTCCTGATTCAGAGCTTAAAGTTGGTCTGATTGATTTATTGATCACCTGAGAGGAGGTCTCACTCTGTTGGAGGTGATCACAGTTACCAGGTAACCCTAACCAGGACACAGCTGATCAGGCAAACAGAGAAAACTAAAAGAAGCCAAAAAACAAACCCTTTTCTAGTCCATTAGGATGTTAGTTTATGAGCCCTGTCAGACGTTGACTAGAGTCTAATGTTCACATGCTGTGTTCAGACCGTCTGTCTACCTGGAGAACACACCTGGTACCGATGCCTTACCATCACACTGTTTTTTTAATGATCTGAACCACCAGAAACATCTTCACGTGTTGCTCTCATCAGCCTCCCCAGAGACTAAACCAGAATGACTGCTGAGTTAATGATGTGCAAACGTCCCTTTAAGAGACTGAACCTGAAGGCAACACTTTGAGTCCTGTCTGATTCTTCTTATGAACCGTTTTAATGTGACCATCAGAAGAGAGAAGGTTCCACGGCGTCCTGCTCAGACCAGCCATGAGCCAATCACAGTCATCGCTGCATCAAAACACTCAGAAATAACTTTCAGTCACTGAGAACGTGGTTCAACTTTCTAAGATTTCTTTCTTGGCAAACTGAATTGTCCCCAAACTCTAAATGAGTTTACACTGAATTACTGGCAGCTTCCAGGTTTGATCCGTTTGTCCGTCAATCTCAGAACATATTACATGCAATGTGGTTTCTACTTTCCATGAACTCCATTCACGTCCCAGCTTTGTGTGTTCTGTGTCGTCTTCTCATAATAAACGTTCATAAATGTACGTTCAGTGTCTCGACGGTTTGTTGTTCACGTTTCAGTCTCTAAACCGTAAAGATTCCAGCTTCCAGCTTTTCAGAGTCACCTTTAATCATTTCCATGATTCCTCCTGAACCTGTCCTGGAGCTCCGTGCACACAGTTCTGTTCTGATCCAGATTAAAGAGGCTGAACCTGGACTTTCTTGGTTCTGGTTAAAACAGCGGACTTCTGCACAGTCTGAAACAGACGGATGGATTCTCCCAAACCACTGCTGCAGTAATCCAGACATGATGAACTGAGAGCATGTAAATCGCTCTCCGTGTCTTTACAAGTCAACACAGACCAGATTTTAAAAATATTCCTCAGATGATAAAACGTGACGGTAATGTTGTGGTTCACACATCCTGGAAACGTCTCACTACAGTCCTTAAGTAGTTTATTAATGTCACGTATGTGAGAAATAAACATTTGCTTTTGGAACTCAGTTGAGAAAGAGATCGGACCGAACCAGAGCGATGTGAACAAAAACCTGCTAGTGCACAGTTTGTCCAGCAGAGGGAGGCGTTCCTGCAGAACCAACTCTGAGTTCTTCAGCTCATTATTCATGTCTGCCTCTGATGTTGACTGAAACATGAAATCCCTGTGATGTGCATGAACTGTTTCATTGGTGGAGATGATGGAGATAATGAGATCTGAAGTGCAGGAAGAACACAAGAGGACGAGGAGAGTCGGAGGGATGCTGAGGAGGTTCTGGTTCAGTTTGTGAATCAAAGTGTCTCCAGCTCAGACTGTTTGAATCATCGACTGATCCTCCTCCTCTCAGACAGGAGGAAGAGGAGGACGGAGAGGAGGAGGAGGAGGAGGAGGAGGAGGAAGATGCTCTGCTGCTGCTCTTCACATTCAAGACTGAAAAGAAGCAAAGCAGAAGTCAAACAGGATCCTCAGCTGTGACTGGGAGGATTTAAAGCTCGTGTTCAGTGATTTCTGAGTGAGAATGTGAAGAGTGAAATCACAGCCGAGTCTGTTCAACCGTCTCCAACTGCAGCAGCTCAGACGTGAAACATTCGCTCTGTGGTTGGATTTTGGCTCAGAGTTTGCCTGGAAATATCCTCTGATGCAAGAAGAGCGACCATTCAAACTCAGCCATCAGTGATCAGCAGAAATCTGGTTAGTTTCTCACAGGTTCTCTGTTTCCTTCTAGCTGTGAAGAAAAGATGTTTCCAGGGAAGATAAAAATGTTCAGGATGAAAGAAAACTACACGTTGAAGTTTGGAAACAGCAGCAGCTGGTTTCAGTAACAAAGACGAACATTTGGAAGCAGCTTCCGTCGGCTAGATTGTGTTTTCACAGAAGATGGAGTCTGGCAGAGGTCTGACTTTGCTGTAAGCAGCAGCCAACATCTCCCACAGACAGAAGCTGCATGTTGTTATTAACAAGAAGACAGCAAGAAAGAGACTCTCCATGCTTGGATCACAGCAAAGGAAGTTTGAGAGCAGCCTGTGGTCTCATCAGCAGGGGACAGAATCTGGAAACCGACTAAAGATGAAGATTGGAAGTAGTCTTTGCACCCTCAATGTTGGGGGTCGCAGGTTTTCCTTCTCAGCAGAGCTCATGAAGCGCCTCCCTCTCAGCAGACTCAGCCGGCTGCATCTCTGCGTGTCAGAAAGCGAGCTGCTGGAGCTCTGCGACGACTACGACCGCGACAGGAACGAGTTCTTCTTTGACCGCCACTCGGAGGCCTTCAGCTTCATCATGCTGTACGTGCAGCACGGGAAGCTGCGCTTCGTGCCACAAATGTGCGAACTGTCCTTCTACAACGAGATGCTGTACTGGGGCCTGGAGAGCGCCGACCTGCAGCCCTGCTGCCAGCGCCGCCTCGACGGCCGCATGTCCGACTGCTTCGTCCATTACTTTCCTGAGGAGGAGCCGCGAGGCCCCGAGGAGCCCAGGAGCCGCTGGCTGGAGAGGATGAGGAGGACGTTCGAGGAGCCGACCTCCTCGCTGGCGGCGCAGATCCTCGCTTCAGTGTCGATGCTGTTCGTGGTCATCTCCATGGTGATGCTGTGTGCCAGCACCTTACCGGACTGGACGGCTGCCGAGACCATGGACCAGCAGAGGTAAGACATGTGGACGAACATGTATGACACATGTTCACCCTGGTTCCACGTGCTTTGTGTGTTTGACTGTGAATGATTCTGATTCGCAGACATAAGATGCATTTATAAACCTGCATCTTATGTCTTTAAAATGCCCCCAGAACAGGAACAACAAGCCCCTAAAAACACAAAACAGGAAGAAGAAACAAAGGAGACTTGGTCCAGAACAGGCTTCGTTTTCAGTCAGTCAGGTTGTGGTGATTCTTTGGCGTCAGCTGGCATCGGCCATGTTGATGCTGTCAGAAACAGCTGATCAGTGCTTTATTCAGAAAAAGTGTTTCCGCCTCTCTTGAAGCTCAGCAACTGATTCTTAGAGAGAGAGCAGGAAAACTATTTGGTGAAACTTTCTTTTCTTGTCTTTTTCTGATTCCATGAACTTTTTTGAATGTTCTGCTTGAAAATGTGGAGAAAGTGTCTTCATGGACACACAGATACTGAAGCTTCAGATTGTGAATCTCATTGGTCCTACGCCTTCCTACAGCGTGCAACAGCTACGACTGGATCATCTTGTCTGTAACGTCATTGTCTGTCTTTGTTTCTCTCTGATTGGCTCCTCTCTGCAGGATCATCGAGGCGGTTTGCATCGGTTGGTTCACAGCTGAGTGCGTCATCCGTTTCCTCGTATCTCGCAATAAGTGGGAGTTTGTCCGTCGTCCTCTCAACATCATCGACCTGCTGGCCATCATGCCGTTCTACATCTCTGTGACTGTCACATTCCTGACGGGCGAGGACTCCCAAATGCAGCGGGCCGGCGTTACGCTGCGTGTCCTGCGCATGATGCGGATCTTCTGGGTGATTAAGCTAGCACGTCACTTCCTGGGCCTGCAGACGCTCGGCCTGACGCTGCGTCGCTGCTACCGCGAGATGGTGATGCTCCTCATCTTCATCTGCGTCGCTATGGCGATCTTCAGCGCGCTGGCCCAGCTGCTGGAGCACGGCCTGGACCTGGAGACTGGAAATCAGGACTACGCCAGCATCCCCGCCGCCTGCTGGTGGGTCATCATCTCCATGACAACAGTGGGGTACGGGGACATGTACCCGGTGACGGTGGCGGGCCGAGTGCTGGGCGGCCTCTGTGTGTTGAGCGGCATCATCCTGCTGGCGCTGCCGATCACCTTTATCTACCACAGTTTCGTCCAGTGTTACCACGAGCTGAAGGTGCGCTCGGCCCGCAGACACCGGGCCGCACCGGCCGAGTACATCCACTGACCTCAGCTCTGCGCTAATGAGAAGAGTCGCAGCAGGAAGGAATGTTCTCACACATCAGAGCGTCCTGTCCCAGGATGTGTCTGTCCGTTGGCTCACAGGTGAACCAGGTGAACCAGGTGTCGCCTCCCAGTCCGACCTGCCGATGAGTGAGACATGCTCTGCAGGTCTGAAAGCTGAAGTCTTCACTCTGCTTGTCCTTTGTTCTCATTAATAGTTAAAAACAAGTCCAATTAGTCTGGTTCACCTTTCTTGTCCCTTTACGTTGCTGCCTTTGATCCCGAGTCAGAACACCGTCTGGGTTTGTAGGTCTGATGACTGTTCTCTCTCACCAGATGTTTGTGGTCTAACATGCCAGTAGAAGCTGATGGAGGTAACGCTGGTCAGGTAGTCCGTGAGTGAACCATCAGCCTTCCTTTTCAGAGGTATTTCTGGGTGAACGCACAGCGTCTGGCGGAGGTCTGCTTTCAGGATGTTTGGTTCCTGAGCCCGGACACCAAACACAGAACACCAAGACCCAATGACTGCTGCTGGGGCAGATTTTAGAAGTGTCCCTTTGTGTTTCAGCCTCCAGCACACTAAACAAGAGCATCAACAGGAAACCGTTCATTACATTTATCCGACCACTCATGAATTTGTGTTGAAGTTTCCCAAACAGGACTGTGTAATCTGATAAAACAGAGTCAGTGTTCTCACAGAGATCTGAGTTTTTACCTCCCACACAGCTGTGTGCAGCCTCAGGTGAAATTCATAGAAACTCACTTTATTCTCCAAGTCCATGGACTCTAAATGTGAGGAGATGAAGTAAATGAACAGGTTTTCCCTCCAGATGTACATCTACCTTCAGTAGCGCTGGAACATCTACTCCTCAGTTCTGCGATCCGACTGACAAACTCCAGATGAGGAACTAAACCTGCAGCAGGTCAGGTAATGAACTGTATGCCAGACTGAGGTATCCTGCAGCGCCCCCTCAGGACGGACTGTGCATCAGAGCGATGGGATGTCGGTGGTATGACTGGATGCTGTCCTTGGTTTCCACAGCAACAGCAGACTCAGAGACGGGAAGTTGAGGTGTTGGAAACATTCGGGTTGAATGTGAGGACAGAAGAGCTGCTGCAGTGTGAAATATCTCACTTCTCCTCCTTCTATGTGAAATACTGCAGGCTTTAAACCAGTGGTTCTCAAAGTTTTTCTCTCAGGCCCCCCTTCAGCAGACAAAAACTTTCAGGTCCCCCCTCGCCTTAAATAATCATGAAATGAGCCAAGTTTAGATTTAGTGACAGTGAATAAACATCATGAGCAGTCAGAAGGTGACGACATGTTCAGTGATCAGTACAAATGACAATCTGTAAATCTGTCCTCCTTCAAAAACAGGAGAAAGTCCCTCTGCTAGAACCACAACACATCAGAACCCAACACAAACACACCAACACGCTTCAACACAGAAACATAGGAAACGTCTGGTGACATTGTGCAGCACATTGTGATCAGTGCAAAAACAGGAGGAAAATGCAGATATTTGGCCGATGAACAAGATGAACAAGCCGATGTGTGACACCATTAGTAGCTGAATGAGCCTCTTCTGCGCTGCACACGGGCTGCAGACTTGATACTGCCAGTCTCAAATCATGAGCAGCGCTGAGCTTGGATCTGGACCGACATGAAGCACTCCGAGGTCTCTCCTCACCTCCCACCACATTCGCTGTGAAGCCCAGAGCGAGATCAGCCTCGTCGTATTTTCTTGACTTTGTATCTTGTTTGTCTCCTGGTCGCCTGTTTTCCTTTTCGTCCCGGTCAAACACTTCTCCATCCATCATCTCT